GAGGATATAAAGAATGTAGAACTGTGGCTTTGAGGTTCCCAAGGATGAGGTGTGAACCAGGTCTATACAATGCATATGACAATAATTTGTAGAAATACAAGGTACTCACAAGTGAGGATTCTGAATTGTCTCATTGAAATCAGGAATTTTAATGAAGTCTGCTAAATTGTTAAAGAAAGGCAAAATACCCTCTGGGCATCACATGGCATAAACCACAGCCAAAGGGTAAGGGTCCCTGAAGCAGTCTCCACAGTACCTGAAGCAGGCTCCTGCTGGCTTGAGATTACAGCTCTCCAGGTCCTCAATCTCCTGTGGAAGGTCAAATCAATACCTGGGCTGCTCAGGATCTGCAGGCTTCAGATCCTGAAAGCTCAGTACTTCCTTCAAAGACCTTTCTTTCATTCACATTTAAGAGATGGCCACACATAGCAAACCATCAAGAAAGAAGGCCATCCCGAGGTCAACCCAAAGGCCCATGGGAGGACCATGAACAAAAGAGTGCATTCCGTAGAGCTGAGATTCTGTCTGTGCTATGGATTTACCAAGCACGTTGCCCAACATCTAGGTCAGAGATTAGAGTATGTTAAACTACCAGTGTTTTCTGTTTCCTGTTTTTCCCTCTTGGGATGTGAACTTGCATTCAATTCTCTAGTTACTACTCCACTACTGCATTTAGATGTAGGGAGGGATGTGTTTTCATTTATTTTATAGGTTGTAGGGTTATAATATTCAACATACAAATGAGATGTAGACGACTCTTCACGACCCAACTATCCAGGCCTTTGAACTACATTCCATAACTGAATGAAAATCTACTGGTAGGTGAGGGAAGATGTATTCTGTGCATGGCCAAAATTATATAGATTAGAAAGATGAGCAAATTGCAGGTTGAAAACAAGACCAGACCGGGTGGGTGGAGATTTGCCTTCACCATGAGAGACACTGCAGCACCAAGGATAAGCAGAAGGGCATGTTGACACTTAAGGATGAACAGGCAAATATCAGAGTTAAGAATGTGCCGCATCTGAATTTGTACTATGCAAATTAGAAATCTTTACACATTTAATATAATGGTGACAGAAAAAGTCATCATACCAAAAACAGCATCTTCCAATATGTGATATGTGTATTGAAATTTTAACAGTCACTAACTGTGCATTTGTGATGGAAGGTAAATCAAGTTATGTGTTTATACAATTGGAAATGTAAAAGGGAAATTCAAATGGGTAGATAAAGCTTAAGAATTCCACTCATAGATAGAAATTAAAAATAAAAAGATAAATATAAGATAAAATACCAAAAAAAGTAGATGAGATTCAAGGAAAAGGAAAGTGAAGGATAATTTTGAAAAGAAATAACATTACAAAACTTCCCAGAACAGAAATAGGTAAGATTCCACTTTCCATAGAGACCAGAGGTCATCTTTTACAAAAAGATAAACACAGGGAAAGCCAAAAACTATCATAAAGTATCAAAGAGCCTTGGTTCAGTTTTTAGGAGATTCTTTTTTTTTTTTTATTAGTTGCTCAAAAGATTACAGATTCTTGACTGGGGACAGGAGAAAGAAACATGCTACATGTAAAGTTAGAAGTCATTAAATACATTTCTTTAAAATCCTAAAGGGGAGGGATAAGGTTGTGGCTCAGTGGTAGAGCACTTGCCCTTGTGTGTGCAAACACTTGCCCTGAGTTTGATACTCTGCATCACATACAAATAAAAATAAATAAATAAATAAAGTTATTGTGTCCAACTACAACTAAAACAAGTAAATATTTTAAAAAAAATTCTAAAGGGGAAAAAGCCTTCAGTCTAGATATCAATACACATTAAATATTCAATAAAATATACTGGTAAAATTCTCAACTAGTAGCATAAAGACATTTTCAAGTGCGAAGTATTCCACACGTAACCATTTCCAGGACATTACTGTAGAATATGCTCCCCAAGTGCGAGCATTTAAAATGCTCCAGATTATAAAAGAATATGTGGGAACCTGAAACCACAGCAAGCCAACAGTGAAGTACTGGGAACTTTCACGGAGCATTCAAATCCAATTGCTCATGACTTTGTCCATGACATTGCTGCTGACTCAAAAAGCAATAATTTATATTGAAAAAGAACAAGGTCTGTGTCATACATGGTCATTTCCGAGAGAAATAAAAATGGATCTGGTAAAGTATTCAATGTGAAATCTGTATTGACTGAAGTTTCTCAGTTATTAAGACTTGAAGATGAATTCATTATAGCTACACAGAAAACTAGGCAAAAAATAACATAATGATGGAAAGGATGTAAGAGAAAATTACCCAAGAAAATAAATATTTAGAAAACATATTTTGTTCTGTACCAGTGAATAGTATTTACAAATTAACAATCATGTAAAATTTGCATAATGATTTAACCAGTTTTTTCATTCTTATTTAAAGAGAGTAAGAAAAATGAATTTAATACAGAGTGGGCGGGGATAGGAAAATTAAGCCTTTATCTCCCATAGAAAGGACATTAATGATGTCTAAAATTGAGACAATAGGATTAGATGTTCAGGATTATTTGGTAATATATACTATATTACACATTTTTAAAGAAAGGACTAGGAGAAATGCAAAAAGTGACATTCATACAAGGAGCTCATGACTAGGTAAACTGCAGCAGACACTTTTATCCTTCCTTCCTTCCTTCTTTTTCTACTTTCTCATGGATCTGTGATGCTCAAGACAGGGACTATATAAAAATATGACATTAATAAGAAAATAGTAATCAAATTTCACTTTCTATACCTGAAATAACAGTATTAAATGTTAAAGGTTAAACTGCATTTGAAAAACAGCAGTTTTTAAAACACAGTGACATTGGATTTATTGTCATTGGAAGAAAAACCCACAAAAATAGTTTTATCTTTGAAGAATTTCCAATTTAAAATTTTATAATCCACTAAATTGTCATTAAAAATGAAGCATAATATATTTTATATAACATCTATGTATCTTTTTGAAAAATAAATCAAAATAAGAATTATTAAACACAATTACGAGGGATTCATTTGTCTAGATAACATGGAAAATAATGCACATACACACTTATATGAGTACAGAAAGAAAGAAAACGATATATAGAGACAAAGACATAAATCTGTAAATGTAAATAACAAGTATATCAGTGCCTCTAAAATATTGATAGTAACATTTGGCTTTACAATGTGAAATAAAAAGTGTCATTAATAGGAAACTATATTTATTAAATATAGTTATATATATAACATTATATATATATATGTTTATTTTCTTGTCATTATCTGATTTCTTGCTCCAAATGGAAAAAAAAATGCTTGTCTTTTATTTTCTATTTCCTAAATCTTTGGAATTCCTAACAATTTGACACAGTGTTGAATAATCTATGGTCAAATAAAAACATGAAAAAATTTCTTATCCAAAAATATAAAATCTACTACTTGTAATATAATAGGAATGAAATGAAATGTATTCAAAATAGCAGCATGAGGACAAAAGAAGGAAATAAGTAGAAAAGAAGACCACTGCTTAGCAGAAAGCCCAATTAAAAAAATGGTAGAAATAAATTCGAATGTAACATTGGTGATAATCATAAATAATTATCCTCAAAGGATAGGATGTTAAATTGGAACATGGAAAGATAAGTTCACTCCTTCTCAAGAGTAATGCTAACATACCATGATGAGTAATGGCTATAAAATAAAATGATAATCTCAAACCACGACAATACAAATTTTAAAAATGATATATTATTGATAAAAGAGAATGCTGTAGAATTAAGGCAAACTGTAATCATGTCAATGAAAAGTTAACTATTACAACGTTTGTGGTACGCTATTTTACACTATTTTGCACTTGAGGTTAAAAGGATCCCCAAATTTCAGTATGATGAAATAACCCAACAGAAACTTATTTCTTGCCTATATCTACAGGCCCAACATGTGTTGGATGAGAATGTAAGTTTGCCAAGTACCCAGACTTGCTCTACTGGATCATTCTGCTTTCCTTAAGTCTGAGATTGTTTTCCAGCCTTTGTTCCAGTAGTAGAAGAGGACATGAACAATCCTGCTCTAGTGATTAAGCTTTTCCACTCATTTCATTGGTCAAAGCAAGTCCTACTTAAAGAAGTTGCAAAAGCAAAACACTTCCAAATATCTAGCTGGAATGAGTAACTAGCCTTTGATAAGACCAACTAACTAATTCTCATAAGTACGTAATGATAAAATGTGCATTATTCACAGATAAATCAATTATAAGTATTTGTAACCTAATAGAGAATACAAATCTCTTAAACAAATCAAACATTCACAAAGAAAAATTAACAATACTAGAAATGTAAGGGTTGAGTTTTCTATAACTTTTTTGAGAAACTAACAGATCAAAGAGACAAAATTAAACATAGACAAATTTTTAAAAGTGCGGAATGTTATCATACACTATGCAGAATATGACATAGCCTAACAATACAACTTCTCACTCCCCACTTTCAACAAGGGCCTCCCATGTCACCATATCCTCCTGCATCAAGCAGCAGACATGGGCAGAACACAGGGAGCTGAGAGTCACATAGCATTTTGTCTCCCCTAAAAGATATATTCAAGCCCCGATTCACAATTCCCATGAATGTCACCTGATTCTGAAATACAGTAGCAGATGTAGTCAAGATGAGGTCATAATGCATTAAGCTGGGTCCTAAGCCAACATGATTGGTTAGGTACAGGAGAAGACACTCAGAGATGCACACGGGGACAATGCCATTTGACCATGGCTGCAGAGACAGCTCTGCCAGCCCCTACCAGCAGGTAGAAAAGAGATGTAAAGCAGGATATCCCTCAGGCCTTCCAGAAGGTTCCTACCCTGCTGATGCTTGGATTTTGGCAATCTATTCTTTGAATTTGAGAATACATTTCTATTGTTTTAAATCACTGAGCATGAGCTGTAACATAGTAGTCATAGGAAATTAAAGCAGGGTACACGAGAGATTTTTACACACTCAGCCTGAAAAAGGGAAACACAGACCTGTCATTCTTCACGTTCTGTTTGCCAGTTCTCCACTTCTAACTGCAATGCAGATATGGAAATGTAATCTAGCTGTATTCTAGGGAGAAGAGAAAATTTTGTCAATAAATAGCCTCTCAATTTTTGGCACAGAAAATTATAAATAAAAAGACAATAACTAAGTGTAAAAGGATCCTCTAAATGTAAATGGCAAGTTATTTAGAACTGTGTTAAATGAGTACCTCATACATAGATATTTGCCATGGGTTCTTGATTTTTAGGGGAACTTCATCCTGACAAGTATTTGTTAACAAATTAAAACTAGAAATGAATTAAGCTTTCAACTCTGAAAGTCATTAAAAGAGTAAGGAGAGGGAAACTAAAAGAAAACAGAGCAGAAATGGATAAAATATATAAAATACAAATTACCCACAGAATAAATAATCACATTACATATAATGATATGCTCACACATAAATACATTGTTACATATAGTTATATAGTTATATGGCAATACATGGTTAGATATGGTATAGATATATAAATAACATAAAACATATGATTATGTAATACCATTGAACAACAGCATATGTATATATGGAGAAAGAACAATCAAGAAAATTTCATATTGAAGATAATATTTCTAACAAAATATTACTTTTATCTTAAATTTTAAAATGTTAAATTAACATAGCTTTGAAGTTACTTCATATGGATTAAGTACATAGGGAGAATTAATCTTTTCACTGGAAATTTTTATGTAATTCTTAAAGTTCTAAAATGGTGTTTTCTACTTTGAAGTGGAGCAAGCAGCCCCAGGGACATGTCTGCCAGGCTCTGACACAGGCATCACGCTTCAGTACCTGTAAACAAGGGTCGTGAAGCACACACGTCTTAAGTCCTGAGCTTCTCCAGAATCTTTAAGGGTGGGGGTGGCTTTTAACATCTCGCAATTGGATTTTTAAAAGTCCACTTCTATTTCCAGGTGAGGTATTTTCTTTAAATATTGAAGAGCAGTGAATGTAATTTCTTAATTACGTCATGAGGAGACATTTCACTTAAATTTTCCATTTCTTACTTAATCTTCAAATTTTCCTGTGGGGATCAGGAGTGTGAGTATCTGAAAGAAGGTGCCTGGAAATATATAGAATCATTCAGAGACTCCATGGTCCTTCCTAGATGCTGCTTCATGCTGTTATTAAAAGTGGCTGGATTCTTAATGGAGATGTTGTGTATTTAAATACTGAGAATAACATAACTACTCCATCCTCTAAACACATCTCTGTGCTTACATTACTTAAAGACTCCAAGGCAGTGACACTTAAATATTCGCTCCTTCATCACCCATGTTCTTTGTATTGTATTTGCCAATATTTTTCTTGCTTTGTTATTCTTCTCAATATTCAAGAGGGTCAGAAACTCCATAAGATTTTAAATACCGGGGCTGGGGATGTGGCTCAAGCAGTAGTGCGCTCGCCTGGCATGTGTGCGGCCTGGGTTAGATCCTCAGCACCACATACAAACAAAGATGTTGTGTCCGCCGAAAACTAAAAAATAAATATTAAAAAATTCTCTCTCTCTCCTAAAAAAAAAAAAAAAAATTTTAAGTACCTCCACACTCAGAATTATCCCTTTCTCATTCTGCCTTATTCTTACCAGTGTGTTCTAGTAGTCAAATGACTGTAGTTTGTGAATTTCAGTCTCTCTTTCCCTTAAACTTGTTACATATTGCATATTGCATTCAGTGCTTATATCTATTAAATCACAATATGACAAGTAATGTTTTCATATTAAGCAAGAGGATTCAACACCACAGCATGTTGAGTAGCTTGAGCTGTGGAAGGTTGGTGCCAGGACCTAACTCTAGCGACCACACCACAGATTCCACCCAGAGCACTGTGTGTCCCCTCAAGGCTTTCTTGAGCTCCAAACCAGACATTTCATTGTTTACTAGAAATCTACCATCAAGTGTGGATCAAGTGACTATCAAAAAGAGCAGACCGAAAAACAACTTCTTCAGTTGTTGGTGAGGGTAGGAGTCATGCAGGAGTCACAGAGTCATTATTAGCCCTTACATTTTTCTTTCTTTTTGAACAAGATTTCCAAGACAAACCAAGGATTTCTCAAATCATGCATCTCTATTATTTTTATTACATGGGCAGAACTACCTCTATATAAAGTAGGAACCTTCTTTCTCTCTGACATGGGAGGATTTTTTTTTCCTTTTTGATTTGTATTTTATTCAGTTGAGCTCTTTTTCTATGAATATTTCACTTCCTTCTCAATTTTATACAGTTGATTTTATTAATCTTTTATGGCTTTGGATTTTGCATAATACTGCACCTTTCTGTCCAAAGATAATAAAAATATTTTTTAAATCCTCAGATTCCCTCTAGTACTTTTATGGTTTAGATATTATATGTTTAAATTAAACTTGTTTAAATATCCTTCGCTGCTCCCCTTGTACTCTGTTCTTATTCTTCCTTATCCTGCTGCAGTTTAAGTTTTCCCAAAACTAACACACAAAGATGGGGTGAAAGGAAAGGGGAGGAAGCAGGCTAGGCAGAGAGAGAAAGAGAGATTGAGAGAGACAGAGGTCCAACTGTGATGCAATAGGATTACTGGCCAGTGTGTGTGAAGGCACGCTGCAGACAGTGGGAGGTCTCATGAGCTTTGGTAAGATATCTGGGCCCTCACACCTGCACCAGTCTGAACTTGGCAGCAGAGAGCTTTCTGTATAGCACAGTCAGGGGCTAGTTGTTTTTTTTATTCCTGGGATGGACTTTGGAGTCCATATTGATGTCACTATCACAGTTCATCCCATTTACACATTTGTAGATGTTCTGGGAGTCTCTCCTCTTGATCTAGTGAGTCTTTCTTCCTGCTGGGGTGGGGATGCAAGATGTAAGAGCGATTAATGCTCTTACTATAGCAATATCTGGGGGACACAACTGGTATCCATCCTCTTGTGTCCTCTCCTGTCAGTTTGAAATTTTCTCCATCAGAGCTACCAGTTTGGCATTCTTGGTTGCTCACATAGAGATGGGACCCACCGTTTAACAGCACCCCTGTTTCCCCCTGAAGACTAGAGTTTAATACTCTGTGAGTGTGATGAGCCCTCTTGGTTCCTGGAGATTCCTCGACATCAAGACTCTGAACTGCTCAGGGAATATTACAGGTTTTATTTCAATGAAAATTCTGTGTTCAGTAGAAGCATTTCTCTTTTTTAAATGAGCATCTTTGCCCACAGAGCTCAGAGGTGGATTAGGAAAAAACTCAGAGTCCCTAGGTACACACCCAGTGTCCTCCCAGGGTGCCCAGTCTCCATGTCTGTGAACGTTCTGGGAGTATCTCCTCTTGGGCTAGAGAGCTTCTTTTGCTGGGGGAAGACAAAAGTAAAGAGAACCTAATGCTCTGACCATGCCACTCTCACTGTCCTCACGTCTGCACCAAGTGTCACACAGGAGGACACTGTGGCTTCTCCTGCTCCTCTCCTGGGTGCCCGACCTTCGTAGTCCATGTTTTGGAGACATAATTCCATGTAAAGGTATCTGGTTCTCAGTATATAAAGCAGCATGGAGAAAGACTCTTTCCTCACAGGGTCTGGCTTCCAACTGATGCTTCAGCTGGGGCCATCAACAGCTATTCCACCACAATGAGCAGGGCAGCTTCTGAGTTTCAGGTTGCAGCAGGTCTGATGGCCCTGTGTCCTCGGCCCTTTCTCCACCCTTCCTCTGTTGTTCCGTAGATCCCTTGGGTCTTACAGCAGATGCTACGCAGGTTTCCACTTACCGAGTCTGACTGATGTGCTGTTCTCACTGAATGGCGGAAACCAGGCATTCAATGTTGATCGCTGTTGATGGAAAGATGGGTAGTTGGTGAGAACAGCAACTAACCCAGACAGGGCGAATCCACACTAAAAGTTTTCCAGCATTTGTACATTGTTCATGTGGTCATTGTGGCAAACTGGAGAAGCCAATGACAGAGAGGCTGTGTGCAGTTAAGTGACCAAGTCACTTTTGTCTAACTGATCCATGTTTCTTTCATGATTATGGCTTTCCAGGAAGCATGAAATACTGAGCCTCCTGGGACATAAGCTCTAAGTAGTAGGACAGCTAGCACCATAGACTAGACTGCTACAGAACCTCTCTACCTGGTAGGCATTCAGCAAAGCTGACAGCTTTTTTATTTCAGTGACTCTATGGGGAAGACAAGTAACCTCATCTGGAACATGTAGCCTCTCAAAAGTCAGAATGACTCCAGATGTCCTTTCTTCTCCATGGTGGTAGGTACTAGATCATATGTTTATATGTTATACATGCCTACATATGTGTGGGTATGTGTGTATACATACATTTATACAAACTTGGAAAGTGAAATGCTCTCAGCTCAGAAAGCTGGGTCTTTACATATTTTGAATACATAGTGACACTTTGAGTCTTCATAGTGTTTATACCACTAAGGCTACAGTGTCCTAATTGCTTCTTAATTACTTGGTTTGATCTACATAAAATAATCAGGATAATAGATCAGAGAGTTTGGTTGTGGTCCATAATTCTTGAGTTCACATTATGATAGAGTGGCAGAGTTAACCTAACCCTGTGGCAAAACTAACTGCATATTATTGTCATTGATTATGGGTTGACTATGTGCGGCCTCTAATCCTGCAATCTTATGGGGATTTGAAGGACACCTCCACCAGTTCGGTTGTCATAAACTTGAACTCATGATTTACTAATGTGCTTTTGCAGAGATACTGACTTGGTATGATGGCTATAAAAGGTTATGCTTGGTTGTGTTGATAGTCTACTTATACCCTCTAGGATCTGTCTTGTTCAGAGTCTGGTGAATTAAATATAAATACACTGAACCATCAATTATGTACTCTTCATATGTGAATTACATATTTCCCAATTCTCTTGGGATATGGTATTGTTTTAAATTTATTATACTGTAGGGGTCAAATTCTAGAGACTGCAACTGGACCTTTACTGTAGAGGACAAGGAGAGTCCCTAAGGTAAGGACCATGTCATTATCCACTAGGTCTATTGCAGTTTGGTGTTGGCTACCAGGTAGTGAACCCATGGGAAGTGAACTCCAGCCAGACTCCATGTATTCCTAGCACACATATGTCACCAATTTTGATAGGCAGAAAGCATAACACATACTCTAGCTATTGTCTTCCACCTTATTGTATTCAAGAGTCCTCAACCCATTTGGGTAGCTTTGTTTCCTTAGCACATAGTTAACTAAGAAAATGCCCACATGACCCTTTGAGTGATGCCTGGAGAAATCATTATCATATGGGTTTGATGTATGTAGATGGTACCCTCTTTCTGGACCTAGATTTTCATTTAGTCAGTAGGTCCTGCTCTGAACATTGGATCAGTCTGGAAATTGAAAACCAACTACAACATTTTTTATTGAGCCAACTGACCTCATCTTTCTTATATTTCATGTTAATTTCTTTCTTATTTTCTCTGATGGAGGAGTATACTTTTGGCTGTCCATCCACATTGACCTGAAAGATGCTACTTTGTCTTTTGTCTCCACAAGAGTATGGGAGACAGAACCTCTTGTGAGGATGCCACTCATGGTCATCGAATCCTGGGGCTTTTCCTGTTCAGGTGCCACCCTGGATCCCTACTATTGGGGGAGCTACCATTCCCACCACTAATAACCACAGGAACCATCTCCTTCCATCAGCCCTGGCCAACACAACAAGATCATGTGTTTCTCCAAAATATTCCTTATGTTTTGCCTGAATGAGATGCTATTTAGCATTATGTACCAAGTGCTTTAATATGTTGGTTTCTTTCACCCTTTAACTCCGTTTTTAACCTTCTGTCTGGCAATTGTCACATTTTTTTTTGTATATTTAAATAAGGACCATCACTTTCTGTGCTTCTGTTTACCAAGTTCACCTGATTTCTTGTGTTTCTTGCCAATTTGCTAAATCTATTGCCCTGGAAGAGTCCATCCAACTGATGCCTTTACTCTATATTTTTACATCCTTGTCTTCTTGATCCTAGTCCCTCTGATACTATTTTTTTTTCTTAAAATCTTTTGTTCTATCACTCTAGAATTAAAGATCTTAAAAAGTTTCAAAAGTAATTTAAAAACCCCATTGATTTTTAATGTTGATATAGAATATCTGTATTGTGTTTGACTTTCAGTGGTTTAACCCATCTAAAATTCTCCTATTTTCTTCAGCTGTCGCAGACATGCAACTGCCCCACTCCCCTGGAGCTATTTCCATTTACCCAAGTGCACCTGTCTGTTTGTGCCTCCTCCGTGTGCACACTGCTTTCTATGCCGAGTCATTTGCTTTTAATTAACTTCTACTCAGACTAGAAGTCAAATGTTTCATGTGTTTTTCACTTTTTCCTGCACACATTTTCTAACCTTCTCAGTGGTGTCATACTGTTCTCAATGTGAAACATAATCACCCACTCATGTGTGTGGTTGACACCATTCCCTGTCACTCTCTTGACTAGTGTTCCCCAGGTATTGATCTACGGAGAAGTAAGAATTGATGTCAAGTTGTTATTTTCTTTTTCAGAGAAATAAAAAAAAAAAGATAAACAAAAGTAACTAAGGGAGTTTTCCAAGCAGCTAGGTTTGGAGGTCTAACATGCTATGCATTCTCATTTTGTCTTCTCAACTTTGTGGTCATTAAAATGGCTTTTCATTATAAAATGAGGATGGCAAATGTCATTATGTCTTCCTTCCTACATTTCCTTCTTTCATTCCATCTTCCTTCCTCCCACTCTCTTCATTCTATGTTCCTGCACTTATTTAATCCCTTTTTTTCCTTTTATTTCCCCAAGCCCTAATATAGCATAATAACAACATTTGGATCCAAATTTCCAAACTGCTTTATTGCTCAGAACTACTAACTGTGTGTGTGTGTTGTGTGTGTGTGTGTGTGTTTAACTTTTCCAAAAACACTGTCAACAATTCCCTGGTAGCTTGATCAGTGGGCAGAATACTGTTGGTGCGAAGTATGTTAGAAAAGTGAGTTATCGAACCCTCAGAATTAAGAACTTAACGGGATAGAGAATGGAACAAATACAGACACTACTAGTGCTCAGGTGATGGGAAATCTGCTTGGTTTGCAAGCTAAGCAGGTTCACTGCCTAAGTATTGTAATTATCCCCAAATGACTTCTCCAGTGATTCTATTACTTATACTGCTCTGCACCCTAATGAACCCAGTGCCCCCATAATTAATACTCACTGTTTTTGGAACAGCCCAGTATATTCTGTGTTGCACAGCTGCTGATCTGCATACAAACTACTGAGTTAGATTAACATTTTTGACTTCAGTCCAGCACATAATTAAGGCCCACCTCAAAACCTCAAGGAAAAGTAATATTTACAGAAAAAGGGGTGTAGAATGTTTTGGAGCTAATATGCCAGTTCAAATTCAGCAGCAGATTGTGAGAGCAATAAATCGTGACCTTTTGGTAGAACTGTAAAGTGGTACTTAAAGATAGTCCTCTAATTGCTTCACTTACTGGCAATTGGGTGAGAAATAGTCCAATACAGGTCAGATAAAGTGATTGAATTACCCTTTGGCTCCCAAATAGCTAATTTCTGTGCTGTAGTCGACTCCCCCTACAGGTGTCTGTCTCTATTTCCATAAAAATACTAGATGGAATCCTTTGGGAAAGTATAAAAAATACATGCAGACACCATAAACCACATAATAGAGTGAATTCAATACCTATTCTGCACCCCCACTGAAACAAGGTGCAAATTCAATTTTAAGGAAAGCTAACACTTTTATTCCATTTTAAAGCAATTTCTTACCTGGCAGATGGGTATCTCTCTCTTCACTTGTATTTCTTGAGGTGCAAATTAATTTTTGGTTCAGCTAGTAACTCATCCTAGTATAAGGAAATTGTAAGAGTCAGGGCTCATCTCTTTCTCTCATGAAGACCATTGTGTTAAACATAATTATTCTGGATTCAAAAAAATATTTGCATTCTTTAGGAATTGACCTCTACTGGCAGATTATTCCCTAATAGGTGATCATATTTCATTTCCTCAACATATGTTGCAAACTATTATTTATTTTTAGATATCAACAGGGCAAAATAGATATTTTATGCACTACTCTAATTGCAAATTCAATCAGCAAATGCAATTCTGAAGTAAACAAACATATTTCATTTAAAACATGATAAATGTTTTCCACTTTTTAGTATAATAAGCTGCTGACAAAAATTTAATAGCTAGCTTTCTTCTTGAAGAAATTTAATACTTATAACTTAGTTAAAATTTTTAAATGATATTTACCCTGTGATTTCAAATGAGACATGAAACCTTCTATTTTAGAATAAAAAGAAATGTTTGACTGTATATGTATGGGTGGGTGGACATCTTCTAGAAGTAACGATTTGCAAGTAGATGATGACAGATATTTTGATGTTGAAAAATAATATCTCATCTGTTGTACATTTAAAGTCACAGAATATCTGTAAAATATTTAGTTTGATATTCAAGGCTGAAACTGAGGAATCAAATTATTTCAAAAAATTGAGTATGATGAAGAAGAAATATGAATTATTATCATCAACACAAAATGGATCTTGTCACCAGATTGCTTTTCTTAGAAAAAAAATATCTGATTTTATAAATAAAATGTTTATTGACTCTCATAAAGCCTATGTTTCATGCTGGGTAAAGTCCATGTATCCTATAAGAGGAACATATTGGTGGTGAGTAAATTTTAAATTAACAACGATCACCCATCTATGTAAAAACTAATTTTTCCATGACCCCTAGAATAAAAGTTTGACTCCTGAGTACTACTTGCATGATATAATCTCACAGAGCCTTCTGTTACCAATCATCACCACATTTAACACACTCATTGGTCACTTGATCCACTACCTTGGTCTTTCTTGTGACTGCTCAGTGACCTTGGATGGCAAGCTTATCCTCAGCTCCTCTGATGGGTTTATCCAAATCCTGCCTTCTAATCCTGACCCAAATGTCACATCCTCAGTTTTTGTCTAAGCTCACTATTCTCTTTATTTTCTCCCATTTTTTCTCCATATAATCTATAATTCTTCCTAGAACTTGCTATAACTAACATTGATATTTTACATATTTATTTGTATACTGTCTGAATTCTCCACTCTCTTCTCCAAGAAAAAGAATGGAGGAGGGGGGCGTCTTAATCATTGTTCTACACTAAATTAAAAAAAATCTAAAACATGTACACACAATCATTACCATAAATAGTTTTAATAAAAGTTAAAGCATGTCAATGTTTTTTTTAATATTAAAACAGTTACAAAAACGTTGGTGTTAATATTATAAATACCATACATGATAAAAGAATTATAGAAGCAGTGTTTTTTAATGTGTAGTTCTCAGTTGTAGGAGGGAGTGCACTCTGTTTAAATGTTCCACTGATATTTCAGCTATAGATAACAGTTTTTCAACAATGTGGACTAACAGGATTTAGGCAGAGTGTTTAAATGAACACAGTGTAGTTGTAACCTATAGCAATGTATTGCATCTGTGTCTTTGGAATATTGAGGTTCCTCGAGGAAGTCACACCATCACTGGAATACAAGGGAATTGTGTTGCTGCCCATCTTTGTATAACAAAGGCGATGAATAATCTATTCAAGTACTGGCAAAAAGTGAAAATTTATAATCATCATGGATGCCTTTATATTCAAAGTAAGATTTTACTTATGATTGGGTTGTAATTGATTGTGTTCATTACATGTTTCTTTGCATAGCATTGTTTTCAATTTTGCAAGTTTTAGAAATGTGTTTTACAATAATGTGGTATTTGAAATGTGCTTTAAAAACAGAATGGAAAATAATTGTCTCATATCATCTGTGTTCCTTCATTAAACAAGTCCTCTGGGTTTCATTGGTCTGATAAATGTTATGGGTATGTGATTTATTTTACTCTTCAAGAATCCTTCCATAAATATTAATCAAAATACGGACTTAAAGCCTCAGGCATGAAAATTATATAGAGCTTGGAGAGTATACCAATTTTTCTTCTTTCCTCTCGATTGAAGAATAGAAAATAATATTTATTTAATTTCTGCTAAGAGTTAAGTTATTGTGCTGGTTGCTTTCTTAAACTTTACGTTAATTCTTAGAAGAATACTGAGGGATAAGGAGCTTCATTTAACAGATGGGGAACTAACTTAAGTGGAAGTTTAAAAGATTAAGCAATTTCCATAAGTACACAGAATTTTATAACCAATGGAATCAGAATTGAAGTCTTGGTTGTCTGATTGCAAGCTATGAAATTTTTCCTTCCTCTGCTGCTTCCTCTAAATGGCTATTTGAAACAAAGATGATTTTTACTTTGTAACCCTCCAGATAGTGTTCTACAAAGAAAATTACTTACTGAATTTAAAAATAAATTATTTATAATAATATTTAATACCATATATTAAAGTTTTTCATTCTAAATCACAATGTGCTTCTTGCATATGCTTTTGAATCATTATTTAATTGTTTAATAGACTGTACACAATAATCTCTACTGACCATTTGAGTCAGCAGCACACACTCAGAAAAAAAATATTCTTTAGAAAAATAAAAAATTTTAAAAACAAAAAAGAAACATTTTGAAAATGTCACAAAACTTTATCAGTATGAATTATTTACTATTTATCAGATAATTTTTATAACAGCTTTTCAACATCTCACTCAGTAATCCCTACTATGTAAATAAGAATGTGAGACTCAGGAATGCCTAAATAAACATGTGTAAGAATGTATATCCTAAGTGAGATTGAAAGAATAATTTTCCGCCTCTACAACCCAATCTTTATTATAGTGTTATGTCAAACATCCTGTTAGTCCAATGAGCAATATTTGAATCAGCTCTTAAATCAGTGATTTAAATCAGCTACCAGATTCACCACCAAAAAGTTCCTAAACTATACATAAACCTAGAAAAGCAAAGGCATATTAGTTTATGAATAAAGAAGGAAAACTTGTGAAGAGGAATTCTAGCTTTCACAAAGAACTTGAATGTCTGCCAAAGCTAAAAGTAACAGTAAAGACCACTGCAATGATACATATAGTTTATGTGTTCAAGGATGATTCTTAAGGCAATCCTGTATACCCACATTCATGCAATATGGGATGGAAACAGCAAATGACTAGGGTAGTGACAAATTAAGCATTGGAGGAGAATGTAATTTAGTGGCAATCTATGTGTCTCTCAATAGAACTATGCTTTTTCAACAATAATGTTGTTAGTCATTTACCCAAATTGATTAAAATTAAAAATAAAAACTACTTGTCGCACTTTTATTATATTTGAGAAAGAAAGAATATATTTTCAGCAAATTACTAGTATGGCTTCATAAATGGTGAATTAATTCCTAACGTTTCATTACAAATCTAAGATATTTAATTCAAGATTTTTCCCTGGATCCTTGGTAAAAGCAATACTAAACTGTTTGCAAAGCAATTCAACTAAATTGCTCATTTGATATTTAAAAATATCTCCAAAATAGTTTGGCATGTACTGTATTTACAATGCCACACTAACATATCTACTACTTCCTCACCAGAGTTTTCACCATTGAAAATATTTAATTATAAATTGCAAATCCAAGAAAAAAATATTTTTTTCTATATGTGATACCTGGGAACAACTTCCACAACAGGCTTCACAGTATATTATTCTTGGGAAGACATAAAACATTTTTTGAATGCCAAAGTTTTTAGATTTCACTTTGGTCATTGTATATTGGAATTCTTAATATGTCCAATAAAAATTATTAAAACAAACAAACAAACAAGAAAAATACTCCAAGCAATAAAAGTGCATTGCATTGTCTCTTTTAAGTGAATTATATTTTCAGCATAACATTAGGTAGTCTAGTTCATTTAATTTAAATTAAGACATGATAGTCAACATTGCATATGCTATAGAATATTTTATGAGAACTAAAGGATGTAAAGAGTTGAATTATAAAACAAAGTACAATAGAACAAAAGAACACACAGGAAATAATTGTAAAATTGTTTCATTCTTTTTATAGTGTGCAATACAGACATGTATAGAAGCACAAATTTAAATGCACACATACATACACCTATATAAAACAGGGGTATTACAGAAAAACTTAGACTTTTATTCAGTGTGATGAGTTTTATAAAATTTGGGACAGACTTCACATTCAGAATCACTAAAACAGGGCTGGGGATGTGGCTCAAGCGGTAGCGCGCTCGCCTGGCATGAGTGCGGCCCGGGTTCGATCCTCAGCACCACATACCAACAAAGATGTGTCCGCCAAAAACTAAAAATAAATATTAAAAATTCTCTCTCTCTCTCACCTTCTCTCTCTCACTCTCTCTTAAAAAAAAAAAAAAGAATCACTAAAACAAAAACAGTTAACAGTGGCAGCATTTAAGAAGTTTTAGATTAGGTGAAATGTTAGGAGTAGCTTCAACAAGTGACTCTAACACATTAAATCAGAAACTCCTAGGTTGATCACAAAATATGTTATGGTTTGGATATGAGGGGTCCCCCAAAAGCTCCTGGGTGAATGCAAGAATATTCAGACAAAGTGAGTAGATGAGGAGAGATGAGATTTAATCAGTCCATCCTAGTTTAAATGGATAATGGGGTGGTAGCTGTTGGCAGGTGGGGCATGGACATAGGAGATTGGGGGACTGGGGGCTTGCTCTGGAAGGGTGCATCTTCCTTGTGGCTCCCTCCCCTCTTTCTCTTCTTTGAGCCATCAGGAAGTGAGCATTGCTCTTCTACAGTACCTTTCTGCCAGGATGCTCTGCCTTCCCTTGGACACAGATGGACTCCTACCTCTATGGACTAAATGTCTAAAATTTTGAGCCAAAATAAACTTTTCCTTATCTGAGTTGTTCTT